ATTATTATTATGTTTATTAGGCCGGAATACTTTTGAAATGAGGCATGAGAATCTGATAGAAGGCATCTTGTCTTCTGACAAGGCATGTTGGAACAGACACTTGATTGTTATTGTCATTGAAGGAGGACAGGAGCAGTTTTAGGGAAATTAAAGCTGTAACTAACCAGCAGGCATGAATACGTACTTGACATAACAAGTTAACAAGTGACCTGCCCCATCTGTTGTAGCCACAATTTGAATAGCAATTCTCAGCAAAAGCCTGTTTCCCAAACGCATGCAGCAGAATGGCCTGAAGCCTAAAGCACAGCGCCTCAGCAACAACAATGAGGTCATTGAGATAAAATCCAACTTAATTCCACTGCATGGTTGCTTCAGACAGACACACATATTCTGAAGGTGACGGTCCAGTGAATAGCCAAAAGACCACCTATTGTTGTAATAGGCTAACCCCTGGGCGGAGAAGCGCAATAATGTATGATTGTTTGCTGGCACCTCAACATGTAAGTATGAGTCCTTTCAGGGCGGAAAAAATCTCACAGCTGAACCAGTTTCGGTAGCTGGTCAGCATACCGAACATCTGGTGGAAAATGCACAAGTTCAGGTAGTGGGATCTTCACTGTCTTCTAGGGAACCAAGAAAATATGTAAAATGTTCTCATGGGATTTTTGATCCGGCTCAAAGGCCACAACAAATTCAAGAAACCACGCTACAGGGATTATCAGCCGACGATGTTTATTCTCCAAATTAACCGATTAGACAAATGAAACCGCCATTGCGCTGGGGAACAGGAGAAAGCCAGAAGTCACGCCCAAACACTCAGAAAGGGGCAGGTTTTAATGCACTCAAGACAGTGGCCAGCTGCGTCTGATCTGCCTGATGGCCTCAGCTCCACTCCACCAGAAAGTTCACCCTGTAACACACACACACACAGACAGACACACCCACAAATACCCTGGCAGTGGCCCTGGGGCCGTCACCCCAAAGTCCCCCAAACACTAGTACTTGCTCCTTTCGCCTTCATCCTGTAGCCTCACAACTCATCTCTGCAACTGGTACCTGGAAGCGATTTAAGAGTGAGATAGAGACACCACAATGAAGAACTACAGAACGATCACTGATATGGGGCTCTGGACAAATGAGACAATACCCTGTTTAAATCCGAAAGTACCTCAGAGTTCTTACGCCGAACCAGTTAACAATGCAGAGTCATGATTTGGTAAATCCTCCTCACAAGCAGCTTCACTGCGAGACAAAACTGTGTTACCAACACACTGAATGAGGATCATCTGCCCGTGCACTCAATTCCTGAGATACCCGAGTATGATATGCCTTCAACATTGATTTTAAAGTTTGGTGGACACGTTCCAGCGCTCCTTGGCTTTGCGCATGGTACGCAGAAGACTGGTTGTGCTGCACATGCAACAGTTTCAATACCTGTGCGAACAAGTGAGAGAAGAAATTTGACCCTTGATCCCTCTGAATGGTTCTAGGTATGCCGAAGATAGATATGAACGGACCCAGCGCACGCACCACTGATTTTGCTGTTAGCGTGCGTAACGGATATGCTGCTGGGTATCTGGTGCTACTGCACATAACAGTTAACAAATACATCGCACCCGACCTTGAATGAGGAAGAGGGCCTACACAATCAATAATCAGGTGCTCAAATGGCTGGTTTACAACAGGAATCGGATACAGGGGAGCAACTTTCACTTTCTGATTTGGCTTACCAGTTAACTGACAAGTGTGGCACGTTTTGATGTAGCTTGCAACACTTTTCTTAAAAAAATGTCTAAGGACCCGATCATGCGTTTTACCAACCCCCATGTGCCCCGACTCATCATGAGCAACACGCAAAACCAAATCACGAAATTTGGAGGGAACGACAATCTGATACACAGGATCTCCAACAAAGCTCTCACAATGTGGCACCCACTTCCGAACCAGTACATCATTTTGTACGAAGTAACCATGTGCCCGATCTTTCACCTCATCCACCCGCAGAACAGACTGAAAAAGCTCCTTCAGGGTTACTTCGGCTCTTTGCTCACGCGCCAATTCACTATGGGAGACAGACAAGGGAGTGTTAGACAAAGTCATTACAAACAATTCAGATGCCTCACCCTCTACGTCTTCCACCTCTACAGGCTCTGCATCATCAGTGGCCCGCTTCATGGCGCGGGTCACAGCGCAGGCCGTGAACACTTCAGGAAACTGCTTTTCATTCTCATCAGGGCTGTTACTACCTAGCCGTACTGGGACCACCACTGGATGTACCGGGCTATTCCCCAAACATTCCGTAACTTAAACGCCACGCAGTCTCTCTTCCAGTGACTGTATTTATGACAAAAATGACACTCAGAGTCAGACTCCATGATCAACTCTCTGTTCTCGAGGAAAACCCCCACCTGACGTCCTAGAAAAAAACATCCCTCCTGCAGGTGCAACATTTCCCCCAGACAAAGCATGCGTGCGGACATCGACACCGCTACCTTGTGGGTCAAGAAATAATCATCCGCAAGGGCAGCAGCCTCCCCTGCTGTCCTCACCTTCCGTTCACTTATGTACATGGCAATTCGTTCTGGGACTGAATTCTTGTTCTGGGACTGAAACTGTTCAAGCACCATCCAGTTACACAAGTCATCAAAGTCCTTCACTTCTGAGGCCAAGCACCATCGACTAAAGTGAATCCCCAAATCACGGGCAAATTCAAGATTTCCTCCTAAAACGCTGACGGTATGCTTCAGGGACTAACTCATACGTTCTCAGTACAGCCGTTTTAACCGTGGCATAATCACCGCTGTCTTCCAGAGACAACGAGGAAAAAAACCTCCTGAGCACGCCCAGTTAACACACATTGTAGCAAAACGATACGGTCTGAATCAACCCAGCCCCTCGCGTCTGCAATCGACTCAAACAACGTGAAGAATACATCAACATCCTTCTCACTAAATTTAGGCACCAAGCGCAAACTATTCAAAATATCACGGGAATTATCGCTGCTTCGAGCAAACTCTTCATTCCTGGAGAAGTCATAGAATTTACCTTCTTTAACTAACCTCAGTCTCTCACTTTCCAACTCTAGCTTTGCCATTTCGGTTTGTTGCCTCATTGTTTCTAGTGCCAACACTTTCTCAACTTCTGCTTGCTGCCTCATCTGTTCCAACTCCAACTCTTTCTCCAACTTCATCCGCAATATCAACATTTCTTTTTGCTGTTCAAAGTTTAAAGCTACACTATGAGCCATATCCTGCGAACACCCATCCAAACCCAAATTAGTAGGATTTAGTAGTAATTTTTGTACAGGTGTTAAAACACCCCTCTCATACATATGTGCCTTTATAGTAGATCTAACATTTTCCTTTAAAGTTCTGTCGCCTACACTGATTTTATAATGATCAGCTATCTTTAACAACTGATCCCTAGTACACTGATCCAAAAATTCCTCCGAAGGAATAGCAATGAACTCATCTACTCCTGCCATGATGATGAACACCACCTGACAATGCACAACAGCAATCATTCCCCCGTAAACAAAAGAATGTATAGTATTGACCTAAATAGTGCGCAACAGAGACCACAAAATAACCTCAAAATTGAGCATCCCCTCTAAACTGCCTAACCCGATCTATCTAACTCAACCCTAGTCTTCAGGAGTTACTTGCGGCGGGTATTTACGCACTAAAACCCAGTAGTTTGGTTAAGCGACCAGCAAGCTGGCAACTTCGCCACAACCATGGACGTCCTCCCGAGACAACCGCTCCAGCCACTTTCACCCCACACTACATTCCTGTGCACACGCATCCTAAAGAGGAAAACGCGCTATTCCTACAGGGGAATTGGCTCAATATATACATTTGCGCAACCAAAAAGGTCAACACTTACCTTCCTTGTCCCGTGACTAGACAGAAACCAACTTGCACCAATGATTCCAAATCATTCCACAGCCTGGTAATTTCCCTTACGTGGGTTTCCACACAAAAAAACACATCACTTAACCTCTGCTAATAGTACAATTTCCAAATTGTAATTTTGTGCAATGCAACATTAATTGGATCTAATTATATGTTTTAAATGAAAGATTCAGAAACTTCAAATTGTCAATGTTTCGAAGCTAATTGGCATAATTACGGGAGCAGGACCACGCCTCCAACTCTTCCGGTCCCTGTAAATACCTCCCTAACCCTCTTCCCATCCTGTTGATGCATTCCAAACCAGAACGGAGGTCAGGGAACACACGCTTGAACGTAAGCACTACTAACGGCCACCTTATCTACGTTATGTTAGGTAACCCCTGACACCGAAATGCCAACGCAATTTTCCCCTTCAGACGACAAGGGCTATCTCTTCAGAAAGGACCAGCACTCTGAAGTTACCAGGATTGTATAAGACCCGAAAATTCAATCGGCGTCTCCTTGATTCAGATGGCGCTTACCTCACCAGAGAAGCAACCAAGTAAAGTAAGCCAACCTCACCTGGCTATTCCAGGCTCACAACACCTAACGTTAGCCAGAATCTCCATCGCCACGCTGCTAGCGATCCCCATAAATCTAGCTTTAACCAATCTCCAATTGTGCAGATTTGTGTACGGTGCCTCTGAACTTCTCTTTAAATGCACCATTGAATTTTAATTAAATACTCAAGGCATATGTTCTCGAGTTAGTGAAGACGTTTTTGCATTTGGTTTTTTTATCTAATATTGATGTGTTCTTGTTTAACTGCAATTTAAATATTCTAAAAGGAGTTTAAGTTATTGTTTACAAACCTCATAACAATT